AGAGGTGGGGGGGGAGGTGATGCAGTACCGCTTATGAGGTAATGCACCTATTGTACAGTACACCTTCCTCGCCGCCACCCCACCGCGTATGGTTGTTATGTTTGTATGGATGTCCCTCTTTGGCTGTGTATGTGGCCCCCCTCCAACCCCTAGGTCATCAGCCGCATGTCGGACTACGTGCCTCCAAGCGAAATCGTACTGCACATCATCAGCACGTACGGCGGCCAGGATTTCGGCGGCTTCCGGTAGGCGGGCGGGGGGCCGAGGGGAGTGGCATGTGCATCTGCTGCTACTGCCGCTCCTCACTACCCTTTCCCCTCCCCCTCCCCGTCACCCCCTGTAGTGTGCCCTCCTCACCCCCCTGGAGTCTACACTCCTCCTCCCATACCCCGTTCGCTCGAGAGCCAGTAAAGCGAGTATGACCCCCTTTCCTTGACTGGACGTGTACCGTATCGCTATGGCCGATTGGTGACACCGGATTGGTGAAAATCACCAATCCAGTAGCAAAGGATAATCCGGGCTGGGATTGAGCGGCGGCCATCACCAATCCCTGTACGTTTTGGATCCAGGTCGGGTGCCGGACCGCCTAACTCGCAGAAAAGCACACATAAAGCAATATTTCCTGCCAAACTTTACATTATATAGTCATTACATTAATAAAGTATTACTTGGTCAGCAAGAGTTGCATCATGGCAGGAAGGCAGCGCACGATGTTTGACTTCGCACCGAAGCTGCCCAAGGATGCGCCAGTGGATGAGCGTCTGAGCGATGCTGTATGCGACGGCGTGCATCTAGAAACGTTTACATGCGACTGCAGATTGGTTGATGTGGGCCTGGGGCGCCTCGGAGGGCCCACAGTGAACGGGGGGCAGTCCGGTTGGCGGCTTTCACCAATTCGGTGGCAATGGGAAAAAGTGGACGGGGTAACACCAAACCGTATCACCAATTCCGGTGTTGGAAAGATTAATTCTAGAAGCGTTTTTTACTTTCACCAATCCAGAAATCACCAATCGGCCATAGCGATACGGTACGGCACATGGGAATAACCCCCTTGCTGCGGCATATCCTGCTTTCGTCGCCCTTCCGCCCTCACTTCCCGCCAATCCCCGGGTTTGTTAAGTTTCTACCCGCGCCCCTTCCCTACGCATATTACTTATACACATACTTACACACACATACTTACAGACACACATACACACACGCGCGCGCAGATCCACGCTTTTGGGTTTGCTGGGCTCGTGCGCGTACGAGCAGGCCATCATGTCCTCAGCCCAGCGTCTGATCGGCCGGGGGGTGTTCGCATCGCACAAGTGGGTGGGGGGGAAGGGGGAGGGGAGGAGGATTGGGGGGGGCCGGTGAGGGAGGAAAACCGCTCGTGACACGGACACGACCCTAACAGTGGTGGCGGGGTGGGCGGAGAGGAGGACGCGGCGCGTCGCGGTGGCGAAGAGGGGTTGGGAAAGGGCTGCCGTGTGGCTGAGAGACCGAGCGGTGATGGGCAAGACGCGGCTGTCTGTGCGTCGTACGGGAAAATAGTTGTCGTGTGATGTGCGCCATGTGTACATGTATGCATGTATGTTTGTATGTATGGACGCATGAAGTAGGTCGCTGGCGGTAAATGGCGAGGATGACACACACACATACATATAGACACACACACGGGAGAGGAGTCAGTTAGCCGTGTGTGTGTATTTGTTGAGTGAGAGCCCCCACCGTGGGTGACGGAGGAAGCTACTGCCGCTGGTTTCTGACTCCAACCCAGATTTCCCCCCCCCCTTTCCCCCCCTTCATTAAAATCCCCCAATCCTCCAATCCCCTGTTCCAACACCCCTCACCCCGCATCTCGCGTGTTTCCCTCCGTCAAGCCCGAGCTGCTGCCGCCTGCCCTCCGCCCCC